GGCGCCTTAGCTGTCAAAAACCCCAAAAATCATTAAAGATGCTATTACAGTGTTATTACAAAGTCTACAGATAAACACATGGTGCCATTTGATTCAGTTCACTGATCTGAATACCTTTGTAATTACATGTTTTGTCAAATATTTCACTCCTTGTGTATTATTTTGAATTATTCCTTCAACAATTACAGCTTATTATACTAAGGTCAAAAGGTCAATCAGAACATAACTCAGTGAACAGCTTTGATCAAGTTCCCTGATCAATTATCATAACGTGGAGACCTTTTGACCAATTCTAAACCACTTTCAGTGAGCTCCTCTGTGCCAAAAGGGCCCCTTATGAGTGCACTGGGTCTCATTATGGCCTGATTATCAAAGCCTTAAACATGGAGAAACAAAACCCCTTGCAAACACAACTATGACAGATATTTTACCATTGCTCATGTATATTTGACATCTATGTTGATAATCCTTTGCATGTTCTACAAACCTTTGTAGATCAGTCCATAGAAATGTAAACATATGTTGAAAGTAAAATGGTTCATGACAAATGAAGGCCTTCTGATAAACTCATTTCAGCCTCTATGCCTATAAGACCCAAACTGCATGAGGCCTGATTAGGCCTATTTGGCTCAAAGTGCATGAGAGCTTCTTGTGCTTATGTGTGCTTGGACCCGCTCATTGCCGCTTGCGGCTATATTTATTATTCTTTTCTTCCCTGAAACGAAACGCACAGCCCAAACCGTAAGTCCTAGAGACTTGAAACTTGATCAATAGGTAGTAGTCCCTCCCGCTACTCAGGCGCAAGAAATCAGCCCAGTCGGCTACAGCGCAGGTCAGCGCGTTTTGGCCTATAACTCCTAAACCAGCTATTTGCCAGATAAGCCATATTTTTTTCCTAGTTCCTTGGATCCAAATAAACCTTTTGGCTATTTTGATTATTTAGCTCCGCCCACTTAGATTTTTCGCAATACTGCAAAATATGCGAAACCTACTTTTGCAAACTAGTCCTACAATTTTCAGCCGATCCTCATCAATTTGGTGTCAAAAAATTCAGAAGAGCCTCAAGGTCAAAAATCCTCAAAAACATTTTAAGTTTTCCATACAACATGGCTGCCATATGCAAATGAACCCCTCTGGATAAATTCAAAATAATTCAGAATTAATTAAAAAATCTGTAACTCAAGAATCCTTCAGCCAAAAAATTTCAAACTTCACAGGCCATGTTAGTAGCCCATACTGAGGTAGCCATTCGATTTTTGTGCGCATAAGTAATTAGGGGCGGAGCAACAAAAACAGGGCATTTTCTCTGCATCCGATCAAGCTGAAACTTTGCATGCAGCATCAACGCGCCAGACTAGTGTGGATTTAAGGACATTTGGATACATCAAAATTTGTGGTCGCCATCGACCAATAAGCATTCAGCAAGCTATTTGACAGGCTTAACATTGACCAGTCATGACGAAACTTGACTGGTGTCTATATGTAGTCACTTTCTAACAAGCAGTCGAGTTTCAAAAGATTTGACCACTGGGGGGGGTGCTATTTCAAAAATTTACATGTTATTACATGATATTACTATATTATTAAAATTTTCATCAAGATCCTATTGTATTACAGTTTGACAAACAATTTTGCAAATACATGTTATTACAAAACTGTATAGTTTTTTTTGTAATCGATAACTATTTGAAAACCATACTTTTCGAACTAGTCTCTGAATTTTGATCCAATCTTTTCAAAGTTGGTCTGGAACAATTCTTTGGCATCTCTAGGTAAATAATTATCAAAAACATGTTGACTTTTCTACTCAGGGTCGTGTGTATCAATCACTCAATTCCTGCATGCATGGCATTTCTAGCTTGATTAGCTATAACTCATCAGTCATTGGTCACATCATCTCCAAACTTTGAATATTTATACAAATTGAGAGACTAATGGTGTTTGCCAAGTTTGGTCCAGATTGGCCTTTGGGGGCGCTTCAGCACTCAAAAACACTGAAAAATCAATAAAAATGCTATTACAATGTTATTACAAGGTCGACATATAAACAATTGGTGCCATGTGACTCAGTCCATTAAGATGAACAACTTTCTAATTACATGTTATGTCAAAAAATTGCACTGCTTGTCTTCTATTTTGGCTTATTCATTCAAAGATTTCACTATATAAAGGCTTATTATACAAAGGCTTGAGGCCTTTTTAGGCCTAATATAATAAAAGGCTTGAGGCCTTTTTTAGGCCTAATGGGCTAAACCAAAAGCTTGAGGCCTTTTTAGGCCTAATGGGCTAAACCAAAAGCTTGAGGCCTTTTTAGGCCTAATGGGCTAAACCTGCAGAAGGGCCCATGCTGCTGTTGCATGCTTGAACCCGCTCATTGCCGCTCGCGGCTATATTTATTATTCTTTTTCCGGCCTGAAACGGAACGCACAGCCCAAACTGTAAGTCCTAGAGATACCAAACTTGATCAATAGGTAGTAGTCCCTCCTGCTACTCAGGCGCAAGGAATCAGCCCAGTCGGCCACAAGGGGGCGCTATAGCGCAGAAAAAATCAGTTTTGCCTCATAACTCGTAAATCAGATTTTTACCAGCTAAGGCATGTTTTTTTCCTAGTTCCTTGGGTACAAACAAACAACTTTGCCATTTGGACCATTTAGTTCCGCCCACGTAGATTTTTCGCAATATTGCAAATCATGCGAAACCTACTTTTGCGACCTAGTCCTACAATTTTTGACTGATCCTCATCTATTTGGTGTCAAAAAATTCAGAAGAGCCTGAAGGTCAAAAATTATCAAAAACATTTTGAGTTTTCCATACAGCATGACTGCCATATGCAAATGAATCCTTCTGGATGAATTCAATATAATTCAGAATTAATTTAAAAATCTGTAACTCGAGTCCTTCAGTCAAAAAATTTCAAACTTTACAGGCCTATTCAGTAGCTTATTCTGAGGTAGCCAGTCGATTTTTGTGCACATATGTAATCAGGGGGCGGCATTTTCTCTGCAGCCGTACATCCGATCAAGCTCAAACTTTGCATGCCGCATTCTCTGGCCAGTCTACAAATCCCGCTCTAAGGACAATTGGATACATGGAAATTTGCGGCCACCATAGGCCAAAAAGTATTCAGCAGGCCTTTTGACAGGCTTATCATTGACCGATCATGATGAAACTTGAATGGTGTCTACAAGTTCACACTTCCTAACCACCAGTCAAGTTTCAAAAGATTTGACTGACTATATTTAACATTTGTGTTTGTCTTTTTTGTGTCACATTTGGTAGGTTAGCGAAATTGTTTCTGATATTATCTGTATAATATAACAATAAACAGCTTATAATAAAGAACACACAAGCATTTGCTGGGCATGACCAGTCAGGCTGTGTCCAGTGACATTCCTAGATCCCATGGATTCAGTGGACTTCAGTCCATCCTCTTTCCTCTCACCCTCATACATTTACCATCAACCTGTTTTCCTGGAAATTGTAAAGCTGTATCCCTTAATGATCCATTGTCCTTTAATGGTAAAGCACTGGAACTCCCCTGGCCTTTTTCCTACAAATTTCACTGTAGTCTGGTGGGCCACGTAAAAATAACCATATCAAACTTAACATCTCACTGACAATACATACAGAGACTCTTGCAATGCCTTTAACTCGTCATGTCTACTGCCAGAGTAGTTACGACGTTAACGTTTAACATACTAAGAAGTTTTCTATTACTACAAAGACAGAATCTTGCTGCAAAAGAAGCATGATGCTGCCTTTGTCAGAACGAACATCTTTATGGAAACACATGATCAGAGTAGTAATAAAAAAACACTGAATGTGAAGTATGTTCCTGTATATATTTTGCTTGTTTAAAAAGGTCATTTGAGACAATTTATGAATTTTCCTGTTCTTTTCTTATCAAACTGTCTAACAACACATGGCAACATTATTAAACAAACTGTTTGACAACACAAGGCAACATTATTAAAGTAGGTAAGTAGATTAATAGGCAGGAATGGCTGCTTGTTTTGTGTAGGCATTAAAGAATTAAATCATCTCAATATTCATTCCTTTGTTTGTGGTGCACTAAGGTAAATTTTTTAATACAATAAATGTTTTGACAGTACATTTGAGCTAGAAGTAACTTAAGGTAGAAAGTGGCCATTAAAGTATGTCACTATATAAAATTTGTGCATAAAATTCTCCAATAGATATTTATTGAATAACCAGCCCTTTACCTGATTCGAGTTGCAATTTTAAATGGACCATAATGACCAAAGTTACATAGTGTTCATATATTTGCTTTTGGGAACCCAAAATTCCAAATTGAGTTAAAAATTGATGTTTACACAAAATCTGTTTGTGTCTCTTTTTTTTTTTCCTTCAAATTTATTTTCTGTTTATCGTAGTCCTTGCTGGATGAGCCTAACCCCAACAGCCCAGCCAACAGCCAGGCAGCACAGCTCTATCAAGAAAACAAGCGGGAGTATGAGAAGAGAGTTTCTGCCATTGTGGAGCAAAGCTGGGTTGACTCCTAATGCTGTAATCCCCTTGTTCCAACATCGCTTACGAATTTCTTCAGTCTTTCATTTACCTCATCACAAAAAAGAATTCTGACGGAGGAATTTAAATGCTACAAGAGGAAAACAATCAATCAATAGGGACTTTGCCGATATTTTACTGAAAGCAGAAATCATTGTGCTGTTGGTTTTAATTTTCTTTTTTATTGCATGGTAAGTTATTGCGAACAGAATTTGTAATATTATTTTGTTGAATTGTTGCTGTTAACAGAGACTTTCAAATGGTTCGTTCTTTGTTTTGTTTTTAAGAAAAGCAGACTGTTGGTAAAAAATATTGTGTAAAAGATATAAATCCCTATATTATTTATAGTGTCATGTGAATCTGAATTTGTACCTGACACGGGTTAAACCAACAGTGCTGCATGCCACAATCTAAAGAATACTACCCAAGTCACAGTTCGGTTGAATTAGTTATACCAAATGAATCACTTTGTGTCTCATTCGATATTCTTTAATACTCACTTTCATTTGTATGTGGCTGCAAATAAAATAAGTGAAATGTGCATTAATGAATATACTATGTCCTATACAAAATTATAGAAGTACATTTTCAAATAAAGTGTGGGTTATATTGTGACAGTGTTTCCATGACAAGGGATGTGTTAGTGTGGGATGAAGTTAGTTTTTGTGAATTTATCCTATAAAAACATTTATACTGTATGCTGTACAAGCAAAATAAATTTTTTCAGACTTTGATTTGATTTTGATTTTTATTATTCTGCTTTGAGTGATAGCGACATCCTTTTGACTCAGCATTCACATAAAAAGCCATTTCGCAGTTATGGCATTTAAAAACTATTACAAATCGATAGTCCGTGTTTAGAACAATTACAAAGTCAATTAGAAAGGAATTAGAAAAAGTATGTGACAAAAACATGCTCTCCCCTTACACATAGTTCTAGATTAATTTCGAGTCCATTATCATATCTAATGGCGCGACCGTTCTCCTTGTCCTTTTCTTGGGTGCTTCATTGGTCAGGTTCATCAAGGCACTGCAAAAACATCTGATTTAGTAGCTTTGGTGTCACCTCTGAAAAAAGAATTCAGAAAAAAAGAATGAGGACAATGCATTACTTCACTACTCTACAGGCACATCCTTCAGAGATTATTTACGTGTGTCAATTTACATCTTACGTCTTTCCATTTAATGACTGATGTTTAATTTTTACAAAACTACACACACACACACCACCTGGCAGATTCTAAGAAAACAGGAGGCTGCCTGCTGAATATTGTCAATTAATAGTTCAAATTATTATTATGTTTTTATTATGGTTTACATGCATTAGCAAAAGTATATACTTTTGACAGTCCTGGAACCTACGCAAGAATTCTCTGTAGATTTCAGCTCAGCATTAAACATCACAGTGCCAGAGCTGCTGCAGGCCAAACTGTCCCAGCAGTCTGTACCCAATGTGCAGGTGGATCATGACTAATAGGAGACAGCAGGTGCAGCTAGGAAAACACATCAGACCCTCAGTACTGGAGTTCCACAAGGCTGTGTGCTTTCACCCCTTCTCTTCAATTTCTACACTAAAGACTAAGTCTCTTAAGGAACCAGCTGTGAAGATCCTGAAGTTTGAAGATGGCACCACTATGGTGTGCCTCATAGCCAACAGCGAAGCGTTTGCTTACAGAGAGGAATTCGAGCAGCTGGTATCCTGGTACAGTAGTAAACAGCTGCTGATAGACACGCAAAAAACAGTGGAGACGGTTGTGGTCTTCAGATGTAATCCCTAATTTTTTTTTTCCAAACAAACGTTTGAATCATTCTGTAATATGCTGTATATAATTTTTTTTATAGTTGTGTAATATATTGTATAGTACATGTTTACTCAGACCTGCAACATATCTGCACATGTACAGATATCCACAAATCTCTTAAGCTTCTTCCACATGGCTCTTTTTATTTTTTTTCTGTTTATTGTATTTTTCCCTGAGGCAAACATTTGTTACCAGTCTGTGTGCTGTCTGCCTATAAGGAAAAAAAAAATATATGGACACATTTTTATATATTTGAAAAGCATTTCAAATGCATTGCAATCCATGCCGTACTGCATTCCAAACACTAAAATGTATTGCAGAATATATTGCCATATCAAACAAACATTTTAAAATGTATGCAAAAATATTACGCATAAAAATGTACTGTGGAACAAATAAATGTATGTAAACGTATTTATCAAATACATTTGAAAATGTGTGAAAATAGCCAAAATACAGTTTGGAATACCTTTTGAAATAAATTTCTATTCCAGTATTTTAATGGTAAGTGTTTTAAGTATAACCTTTAACAATTAACATTTTACATAGTTATACCTGTAGCCTTTGTTAACTACACACAACTGAGGAAATGTAATAAATACAAAAGAATGTATTTTAAATGTATATTTGACAAATAGCTTCCAGCTCTGTAGTTTCTCACACTCAGAACACCAATTCTCTCCCAGACTCCAACCTCCAAGAACTCCCAAGGAGATGATGTGACTCCAAAATCTCAATCATCAGCCGATCACAGATCTTCCTTACCTGAGTACTGACGTGTTACTTCTGTTCCTTGCCCTACTTAAACTGTTTAGTTTGCCTGGTATCTTGTGAAGCACTGCTCCCGTTTTTCTGAGTGTTTTTCTTGTTTACGGTTTTTAAGTATCTGCCTTTTTTCTGTATTTCTCAACTTTGCTTTTTGTCTCTTCCCTTTGGACTGTGTTGGCTGTGTTCTATTCTTGCCTACTGGTTTTTGATTATGTATGTTGATACTTCTGATTCCAGTAAAGCCTCACTTTGTGATTTTATCTGCAAGTGTCTGACTAGTTCGGTCACATTACAGATAAATACAGACGCAAAATACATTTAGAAGGATTTACAAATATTTAACAAATACATTTTTCGGCCATTTTCATAAATTGCAAAAAATATTTGATGAAATATGTATTTTTTTCCATATGGGTAGGGCTGGGCGATATAACTTTTCCTCGACAGAGCGATACGACATGTTCGATAAATGTTCGATATAATACACCACTCTCACACTTCCACGTTCAGCGAAAGCCTTGGTGGCGTTTTCTACTGCAAGGAAAGTGACACTACTATGCTGTTGCCAGGAGAGGGCGCACTTCCAAGTTTTTCTACATGATTAGAGAGGGAGGGGGCCACGAGTAAGATGGGATTTTAGCAACGGCTGAAACGCGGAGTTATACATTCCCTGTTTGAGCGGAGGCACAGGCGACCTGTTCTCCTGTGACCGAGTGTGGGTGATGAGGTCAGTGGTGTAACTGTACTGTCCTACAGCGAACTCACCTCTTTCTGTACATCCTAACAACTTTAGCGGTGTTAAATCACAATCACAATCCTCACAACTACAGCGCTCGGATAGTCATATTTAAGTATGAGTGCATTCCCAATCAACGAAAGTGAAAGAAAGAAGTGGGTTCATGCAGTTGCGGCCCTGATGTAAACAAAGGTAAAGTGAGGAAGCTGTGAGGCATTGGAGAGCGGGAGAGCGCTAGCTTTCCAGGCTAGCTGTTTAGCAGCTGGCTAACTTAAAGCAGCGCTTCGTCACTGCACGACACGGCGAATTAATGATACTGTAGATCAAACACGACACAAAAGCACTGCTTTCTGTTTAAACGTACCTAAAAGGAGGACTCTGTTTGTCTGGTGTTGATATTTTGCGGTTCACCCCTTAAACTACTACAATTGAATATCCAGTCGTCGCTAGCTGGCGTCTGAATACTGTGATGTCATTTGTAGCGGGGTAGCCGAGCGCTCGTCACCAGCTAAAAATAATCTGTTTTCTTTCTTAAATTATGACTATTACAAAACAGCCATGCTTTTCCAGCTGGTAAAAACAGCTCACCAGACACTCTCTCCCACTCTCCCATGACAGATTTGTGAAATGTTCCACTGTTTGGCAAGTGTTTGTTGTGTTCCAAACAGCAATTAACCACCCAGGAGCAAAAATCAGCCTTCAAACTTGAAAGAAGTAATGATTTGACATTTATCACGATATGTATCGATATCGAACAATATAAATTTTGTTTATCGTGATAACATTTTTGGCCATATCGCTCAGCTCTACATATGGGTGGTCTCTTTAGTATGTTACAGGTAATATATGTGTGCACTCACTAAGAAATGTTCCTTGTATATGCAAAATACTTGACAAAATTCTAGTTTTAACATAGCAGCTTTTTGTGATGCAGAAGGAACAAGCCTAGACATTACAGAGCAAATATGACAAGAAAATCTACCTTTTGCTGGTTCTTGACAATCTCATCTCGGGTTTTAAAAACAGGGGCATCTTCAACTACAATTCCTTTAGCCATCTCCTTCACTCTGTCTAGGAGGTCTTGACTGTACCTAAAATAAAATGGACAAAGGAACAATGTTCACAGTCAATGTAAACAGTAAATAGTGAGCATGTGAAGAAAGACATTTAATATACTTAAAGCTTAACTGCTGCTTTTTTCTCTACTAAATTAAGCTATTGCATCTATTTAAACTACAAGCACATGTATTATCCAGCATCTCTGCCTTAGCCTCTGATAAGTAATCTCCATTCTAATCTTGCATCTTCCAAATGGCTAGTTGCACTGAAAAACACACTTTTTGTCAACATGAAAAATAATTTGCATCATACACTTAGCAAGTGCTTTCTTAGGAACACCTGTACACCTACTCTTGCATGCACTTATCTCATCAGCCAAACGTCTAGCTGTAGTGCAGTGCATAAAATCAAAAGGCAAAACTGACTGCATCTTCAAAATGAGCAAGCAAAATACACTCATCAAGCACTTTATTAGGAACACTACACTAATACTGGTTTGGGCCTCCCATTCCTTTGTGGCATGAATGCAGATATGGGCCAGCGGCTTCAGATAATGTTCATATCAACCATCAGAATGGGGAAAAAAATGTGAGCACAGTTCTGTGGATGGAAATGCCTTGTTAATGAGAGACGTCAACGGCAAACGGCCAGACTGCTTTGAGCTGACAGAAAGACAACAGTAATTCAGGACCCTCACAGGAACTCTACAGAGCAGGTATTTTTTAGGTGGTGGATCAATGGCAGCACTGAAGTGACACTAACATGGTGGTAGCATTTTGGTGTGTGCTGCAGAGGTACAAATGGATCGGACACAGCAGTGTTTTTGGAGTTTTTGAACACCGTGTCCACTTACTGTCCACTCAGACATGCCTACCATGTTGGTCCACCTTGTATATGTAAAGTCAGAGACAATAGCTCATCTGTTGCTGCACAGTTTGTCATCCACCAGTCCTTCATCAGTGTCACTGAGGTGTTTAAGAACTCCAGCAACACTGCTGTGCAACACCCACTAACATACCACGTCAGTGTCACTGCAGTCTTGAGAATGATCCACCACCCAAATATTGGGCTAAGTACTCTGTGGTGGTCCTGAACACTGTAGAACAGAGTTAAAGGAGGCTAAAAAACTGTGCAGAGAAACAGATGGACTACAGTCTGTGATTGCAGAACTACAAAGTACAACTGTACGAAGAAATGGAGATGATAAAATGAGTGCAAACACAAGGCAGGTGTTCCTAATATGATGGCCAGTCAGTGTATGGGCACATACAAAATCTCGAACTATGTGGGTGATGGAGCAAAACGAATTGCATATTTGAAATAAGCATACAAAATATACACTAATCAAGCACTTTATTAGGAACACTATACTAATACTGGCTATGGCCTTACTTTGGTCTCAAAATAGACTTTGTGGCACGGATTCCACGTATAGATTCCATATTTGTCAGGTGCACGTTCATGTTGTCAATCTCCCACTCTACCAGATCCCATATTCTTAATAACTTATCCTTTTGATCTTTCAGTCAAAATATTACTTATTGACATCACAAACATGAAAGGAACTATGGGGTGTAACATGTAATTAACTAAAAAACATTTTCTGGACTCTCATCTGGATGTTGAGAATCTAGACAAGCTGGGCTCAATCAAGACATCAAGACATCTCCAATATGGCAAAGCAGTACCAAGAGAAATTAAGCCCTAGTATTTGCTGTATGTATTTTAATGTATGTGTTTTTCAAAAATTCAGTGGTGTCACATAAATGCCTGGATGTTACACAAATGTCTAAAAACATCTGAATTAAGTGCAAAAATACTACTACAATCACCTTCTTTAATTTATGTGGCAAAGTCACTCACTGTTATTGCTCATTTTTCACATGTGCAAAGTCCACAGGCATACTAGGATCAAAATTGTGATGTTCATTCCACCAAAAAAGTGACTATCACATACTAAATAAAACTGCCAAAAAATGACCAACTAGAAGTTTCTTCTTTAGATTTTTTTGTCTTAGTCTTTACCGATTACTTAAAAAGAAAGAAAAAAAGTTTCTACCAAACCCCAGCTAACAGGAAGTAAAGCTACTCATACCTGCTATTTCTTAATTTCCTAAAATGTATATCAAATGATACTTTGCCACCAGCATGCTAGTTAACAACAAACCTTCTCACGCTTGTTGTAATATGAGTAGTCAACACAATACAACTTCTCATCAACTCATCTTACAGGAGCCAGATTTGTGTTTAAATTTATTTTCCTTGAGAGATGCTTATTTTGATTTAGATTTAGTGGCCTTTCACTTGAGACTCTTATTTTGACACTTGCCACATGATAAACCACCAGTTAAGATGGCATCTTCCTTAGGCACAGGTAGAGCCTCATAGCTTAGACATGGAAGACGCTGGGAACAAACAGTTTTTTACCGCTTATGCTTATCGCTTAATGCTTAACCTTCTACAAACTCACCTTCACTTGTCATTTTGGAAACTTTGTACATTTGGAATCTGCACTTTAGAAACCCACCTTTTTGGTTACTTTGAACCTTTAAGCAATTTTGATTAAACCACTGCCTGCCTGCCTACTGCTTTACTTGCCTGTTTGCCTGCCTACAAGCCTACCCCTTTGCTTGCCTGCCTGCTCACCTCTCTCCCACCACCATTGAACACAGGTATGACTCACAGCCAAACAGTGCATATAACAAGAAAGCGCGTAACAACTGAAACAGTGACTAAACTGGATTTAATTTTTGGTCAATACACATCTAATTGCTAATATAACCCAACTACAGAGCCTGTAGACTAAACTGAGCTGCTACTGGTACACGACTAAAGCATGCTGATTTAGCAACGAGTGATTCAAATGAAAACAAATTATACATCATAGCCATGTTCTATGTTAGCCTATAGAGTGTGTGCTGCATATCTGAACTTCTCAAGAAGTCAAAGTCAGTCTGACTTTTCCACAATGAATCTCATAAAACACTTCAGAAACTACAGAGGACCTTGGTGTCCTTATGCTATTTATGAACATGACAGGCACTGTTAAGAACTGAATTATTGGGCAGAGGTGGCAGTTAAGTTCCTTACTTAAGCAAAAGTACTAGTAATCGTAGTACTTTTAAAATTTGGAGCGATTCATCAGCATTTTCAAGTTAAAGATTTACTAATTTAAAACCTAATAACTATTGAATCCAAAACACAGGTTACTGCCACAGCGGGGAGACACAATGAAGACGACATGAAAGCTAAATCAAACAGCTGATGTGCGAAGACAAGGAAGAATGACACAGTAATCTTTAAAAACCTAATCACTGCAAAAACAAGACAAACGCATATTGCCACGGCAGGCGTGAAACATGTTTATGGTCTATTCATGGACTTACCTGTGATAACTTCATGCACTGAAGCAATGTTGGATGTTTACTTTGACATTTTCACAAAGTCCATGCCAGCTTATGTATTAAACAGCACTGTAAGTACCAAATTCGCAGAAAACAGACCACAACTTTTAAACGTTTGTTTTCAGCTCTCGAGGCTGATGTTAGCTTAATCAAATTTCCATTCCACCTTAAAGTCCTGCTGTTACACGCTATTAAGAACTCGGCCAGGAATGTTGTCTGGTGTTCTGTTAGAATGCTGTTCACAGACTTCAGTTCAGCATTCAATACCATAATTCCTCAGCATCTCATTGGAAAGCTGAGCCTGCTGGGCCTGAACACTTCCCTCTGCAATTGGATCCTAGACTTTCTTACTGAGAAACCTCAGTCAGTCCGGATCGGGAGCAGCATCTTTAACACCATCACACTGAGCACGGGAGCCCCCCAGGGCAGTGTACTCAGTCTACTGCTGTTCACTTCGATGACTCACGACTGTGCAGCAGTTCACAGTTCTAACCACATCATAAAGTTTGCTGATGACACTACTGCGGTTGGTCTCATCAGCAAGAACGACGAGTCGGCATACGGAGAGGAAGTGCCACGACTGACAGACTGGTGCAAGTCAACGACCTATATCTGAATGTGGACAAAACAAAGGAGATGGTTGTTGAATATCTGACTTGCATTTTTGCACATTTTACTTTAACAATGTTAGCTGCTAGAATAGTGTATCAACCAAATACTACAAATAGTGAGTAAAACTAAAAAGTACAGATACCTAAAAAAATTACTTAAGTACAGTAACGAAGTAGCTGTACTTCGTTACTTACCAACTCTGTTACTGAGGCAATGGCGGATAGTGATGGTTGCTGAGCAGTGATTGGAGGGCTTGGCAGAGAGTGTAATGATTTGGATTAGCAATTATATAGTGACAGCACTCACAGAAAAAAATGCAAATATTCCATCCCCATTTCAAAGGGTAGGCCTATGATACCCCTGAATAAACTACCACATTGACAGAATGACATTGTAACAGCAATGGGGAACACAAGAAAATAGGTAATTTCTCTGGCACAGTGAACTTTTATGTTGAAGTTCTATATTCAGGTACTGCCAGCCAATTTCTCCTCTCTCTGGACAGACCAAAATACTTGAAATAGGTCAAATTACTGTTCAAAAAACAGTTTTGAAAATCACTGGTAAAATCTGACAAAAATTGTTTGTAGCATTTGGCTCAATAATGCACAAACCTTTATTGGGTTGATCTGGCTACTGCGCTTGCCATCTCCACAATGAGAGGGCTTTCCCTGCTAATGCCACAACATCGTTGACCCTTCTCTGCTCACGGCGTAACCAGCAAGCTGATTGTCTCTTAATTGAAGGGTGGGACTTTCTCCTCAAACAGACGCCATGTTGAGCATTACGAGCTTTTCCATTCATATTTCAACCAGTGACCTCTCTCTTCATTTATAACGTCTTTGTCGAGGACAGGCAGGCTGCCAGGTTGTGTTTGAACCAACACAAATCAGCGCAATGTTAAACTTTGATAACAAGCAACAAGTCATACACTGTTAGCTGATTGGTTAATGTATATGTTTGCAATGTTTTTATTGTTTGCAAACTATAAACTAGCTCGTGTGGATTTTTTTAGA